TTTCTGGCGTAGGCGTCGCTAAGGGGCCCGATGGCCGCGGCGCCAACGCGGCGGGCGGCCGACTCGCCCATCACTGCCCACGGTGTAGCAGCTGGAGCTCTGGCGTCGGCCGCCCGCTCCCGCGCATGACCAGAAATCCAGCAAGTGGCGTTTTCATCATCATCTGGACCATCGTCGCGATCGGGCGAAAGATGTGACAGGGCGGGGCGCCAGAACCTGCGATTGCCTCGCCCCCCGAAACGCGGTGGCTCCGAGACTGATTTCCGCAGGCCCCCTCGACCGACAATCGGCCAACATCAACTTGCTCACGGTCAGAAAGATCCTCCCGGTACGACTCGGCCTCGCGGGGGTCCTCGATCTCATCGAACGATGGGAAGTCCTGGCCCTCGTCCCCGCCCTAGCAGTCGAACGGGTTAGCGCCGTCGTAATCCACGGCGTGGCACCCGGGGGCTGCGCGGGCCTGAGGCCCGCCAGCCTCGCCGTCGCCAGGAGCAGGGGCGGCGTCATGGGCAGCGACCGGCAGCCGCGACTCGGCGAAGGTGCTGAGGCTGCGAGCGCTGGGCCGGGGCGGCCCGCCAAACCGTGCACCTCTCTCCCTCGCGGGGGGGGCTCACCATCCTGTGGCGGCGGTTGCAGCGAGCTCTCAACTTCGCCGGCCCACGAGTCGTCGCCGTCGCTGGAGGAGGACCCGTCGCCGCCCGTGCAATCAGTGGACGCGTCTGCCGCGAGCGCCTCCGGCTGGCTGCCGAAGATCTCCTTCAAAGAAGCATCGCGCTTGAGACGAGTGGCGTCTCTGCGAGTGCAAGCCTCGCGCCGCTTGACTGAGGCTTCCGGCGGCGGGCAGGGGCGGGCGCCCGCGGGCAGCGGCCGCGGCGCCACTAGGCGGCGCGTCATCAGCTGCTGGCCGCTGCCGAGGAGCTCCACCGCGAGGCCGCAGCGGGTCTTCCAGGGGGCGGCTTGCGCGTCACGGAACCCCGCGTTGCACGGTGGGCAGGATGTCGAGCACGGGCCGTAGTCGACGTGCGATCCCGCGGCGCCAGCAGCACAGGTGAAGGTCGCGGTGCTCTGCAGCGCGCGCCCGCCGACGCGCCCCGCGAATCCGCGTTCCTGCAAAACCGATGGCCCCATGTTGAAGTCGCCGATCACCAGACAGGGCAGCTGAAGGGTGGCGAGCAGCGCGCCAACACAAGCGCGCCTGCGCAGGTGGCCTCCCGCCCAGCCGAGGGGCGAGAAGGCGCGGAAGACGATGGCCACCACGGCGCGCCCCTGCGCGCGGCGCACGCCGGCCTGGGACCCGTCCAGGTCGGAGGAGGCGGGCGCGCACAGCTGCTTGGGCGCTGGTGTGGCGGCCTCCAAGCGGTGCGCGTGAAGATGCCGACGGGCGAGCAGCCACTCGCCACCCGCAGTGCCGCCGCCGCTTGAAGCGCGAGCTGGGTTGGCGCGGGCTCGCCAGCCAGCGCGCCTGCCCTTGCGGCTCCACTCGTCCAAACCCAGAAAATCGTAGTCTGCGCAATCCTTCTCCACGAACTCCAAGGCCCGCGGCCCCATCGCAATGATGTTCGAGAAGAAGAAACTGCGACTGTGACGAGGTGGCTCGTCACAAGCCACGGGCGCCCCGTCGACGATGAAACCGCGCCCTGGCGCTGTCGCCGCGCGCGGGCAATCGGCTGCGACTGCGGCGGTGGCTGACCCAACGGCGCCCAGAAAACCATCACCACTGCGAGAGATGTCAAAACTGTGCGGCTGCGCGCTGCTGCCAGCTGCGCCAGCGGCTAGCTTTTTCGCCGCTGGCGAGGCCTGGCGTCGCAGGTCGCGACCCTCGGCGTCGGGCGGCGCCGCGCCTGGACCAGCCGAACCCGAGGCGTCGCGGGCTGCCGCGGTTGCGGTCGCCTGCTCGGCCGCCTTGGACTTGGCCTGGCTCAGCTCGGCGGCAGCAGCAGCGAGCGCGGGGTCAGCTGCCTGCTCGGCTGGGGCCGCTGAATCTGCGCCAGCGACCTTCGCGGCAGCGGCGTCGGCAAGTGCTGCTACTGCTGCTGGCGCTGCTGCTGCTCCTGCTAATGCAGGTGCTGCTGCTGGTGCCGCCGCCTCCTGCGCGGGGTCCTTGGCGTCGCCGTCGCCGCCCTTGCGCTTCCTAGCCAGGCGCTGGCGACTGGCGGCGGCGAGGCGCCGCGCAGCGGCGAGCTTCTCGCGGACCTCTCCCGGGTGGACTGCAGGAGGTCCTTCGCCGCCAGGAGCTCCTTGCGGAGGCTGGCGAAGCTGCCGCGCTCCTGCTCGTCGAGCCCCACCAACATGTCAACCGCAAAAATCGAGTTTTCCAAGCGTAACTGGAAGAGCTCTGAGGACTCCTCGGACGCCGCGGCGTCGGCGGCCTTCTTCTTGGTTGCCTCGGCCTCGGGCAACAGCAGGGAGAGCTCGCGCTCGCGGGCCTCAGCCGTGCGCAGGCCCGTGCGGCAGCGCAGGACCTGGTCCACTGCGGCCTGGCGCCGCCTGTGGAGGTCCTTGCAGTCACCTGCTGCCCTGCGGAGCGCGTCGTCCAGCGTCGGTTCCTTGGCCTTCGCCTTGGCCGCCGCGGCCTGCGCGTGGGCCTCAGCGACGCGCAGCGCAGCGGCCAACCCGGGCGGCACCGAGCCGTCGCGCGCCGGGGCGCCAGGGCGCTGCAGCTGGCCGGCGGCCGCCCCACCTGCGCCAGGAGCACCGCCAGGCCCGCCGCGCCCTCGACCGCCAGCACCGCCGCGAGGTCGAGTCTGGGGGGGAGCTCGGAGATGCGTCACCTTGGCGCCGCAGGGACAACGCCAATTCTGGGCCTCCAACATGTCGTCCCACTCGCAGCGACGGCACGCCGACCATCGGGACCAGGGCCGATCGAACGAGACCATCTTCCGTCCGAGTGAACGCGGCCGACTAGAGGCACCCCGCCCCATCTCGAGAGGGTTGCAGGACCACGCCTCCAGAGACCTCTGGAAACGTTCAATCCTGAGTGCGCCGAATCGGCACCGCGCAGCCACCAGCTGCCGCCTGACAGCTTATGGCGCGCGGCCCCAGGAACGCCTCGCTGAGGCTCGGCGCGACCCCGCGGCCCATCCCCAGTGGCGACGGAGCCAAAAGGTTCTTGATGAGGGGGAGGAGGAGGAGGAGGAGGAGGAGGAGGAGGAGGAGGAGGAGGAGGAGGAGGAGGAGGAGGAGGAGAAGGGAGGAGGAGGAGGAGGAGGAGGAGGGAGCAGGAGAAGGAGGACGAGTGTGGCGGAGAAAATGCCTCCCCGCACTTGTCCCTCCAGAGCGGCGACGGAGCACCGGCTGTGATCTTCAAGCTGCCAGACCGGGCGGGGGGCAAGACACGAAGGGCATGCAGGGACGGAGGGAACAGGACATGGAGACTTGCTTGGGGCGCGCCGCCCACGTCGAGGGCACACGTGTCACACACACACACACATAAACAAGCACCCGCTCCTCCCCCGCAACGCTGTGGCAAAAGCCGCTCCGACGCAAGCGGGCCGCGCGGCGTACATCCCAATCCCACGTGCGGCGGTCCGCTCCGCCGCCTTTTCGCGGAGCGTCCGCCGGGAAAGCGGTGCCAACCTCTCGATCCCACGAAGACGAAGGCCCTCTCTGGAGGGCGACGAAGCCGCGCAAACATAAACATTCGGAGCTCCGCGCGGATTTCTTGGACCTGCGCGGGGGCCCCCAGGTCGCTGCCTGCCCGCTGACGAAAATCTACACGGTCTGGCTTCGTCCCTCCCCTTCCTCCCCTAGTGCGTTGCTAGGAGTGCCCCTGGCCCAAGGTGCCCCCAGGAATTCCGAGGAAGCCCCCACGGCTTCCAGAGTACCCCTCACGAGGCCCAGCGGGCCGAAAGGGCTCGAAAAACGACCGAAAAGCTGGGGGCACCTTGGGCCAGGGGCACCTATCACAACCCTGAACAACCCCCGACCCTTCCTCCTCCCCCCCCACCGGCCGCTCTGCCATGCTTGCTCCCGTCTCCCGCTGGGCCGAAGTATGCTCAGCGCCCCTGAACTGTTCTACCAGCTCGCGCGCCCGCCGGGCTCGCGGGCAAACAAGTGGCGACCAGCACACATACACGCACACACGCACACACACACACGCACACAAACACACACTCACACACACTGACACACACACACACACACACACACTCTCACTCACTCACTCACACGCACACACTGACAAACACACACACACACTCACACACACACACACTGACACACACACACACACAACACACACACACACACACACTGACACACTGACACACACACACACACTGACACACACACACACACACACTCACACTCACACGCTCACACTCGCGCGGGCACAAACACGCGCGCGCACGCGCGCACACACTCACGAAACGCAACGCAATGCAACGCAACGCAACCAATGCCCGCGCGCACGCACGCACGCACGTACGCGCGCACACACACGTACACACACACACACGCACGCACGCACGCACGCACGCACACACGCACACACACACTCACCCGGACACACACACACACGCACACGCACACGCACACGCACACACACACACACACACGCATCAACGCGCACCCACACGCACGCACATACGCGCACGCGCACACGCACACACGCACACACCCCCCCACACACACACACACACACATTGTGTTGGGCGGTAGCGGACTCGCGCGCAGCGACAAGGCGGAGAAAGGGTAACAATGCAGACCAGTGCGCACGACCGCGAGGCCCTCAACACCGCTTAGAATTCAAACCTACCAACATCGGCAATCCGGACACGGATGGTAGGGAGGGTGCACGCAAGACCGTGGACGCACATACACACACACACGCACACACACACACACTCGCACTATCATATACATCTCCACCTCCACCCTCTCCGCCCCCTGTCCAGGTGATGGGCCGCGGGAGAAGACGACGGAGGGACGAGCGGGACGGGGAGGAACGGGACGGGGAGGAAGAGGAAGACTGGGATGGCAAGACGCTTCCCATACCGATCCTTTATCTGCGGCATGAAGCCCATGGACAGCATCGCGTCCGCCTGTTGGGGCGAGGAGAGCGAGGAGGCGCGGAGTGGGGAACACTAGGATAATGAGGAGGAGGAGGAGGATCAGGAGAGGAGAAGGAGGACAAGGAGGAGAAAGGGGAGAAATGACAGGCAGGAGGGAGGGAAGCAGGGGAAGGCAGGGCAGCCTCGTCCAGGACGAGGTACGCGACCTCCTTCACGCTCACGGCTGGCGCCGCGCCCTTTTCCTTCGTGACGACTGACAAACTCGTCTGCCCCCCCCCGTCGACGCCGAGTCGCTCGTCAATGTGACATTGTCAAGAACTTTCTTGCGACTTTGTAGCTCCCAGGGTGGGGGAGGATTTACCCACGATGCCGAGATCATAGCTCTTCCCATGGCGTCTCTTCTGAGGAGGTCGACGTCGAAGGGGCCACGACGAGCGTGTCATCCCTGGGGTACCGCCAGTGGGGCCACCACTGAAGGAGGCACCAGAATGTGCAGTGCTTCGGCGAGGAGGAGGGGGTCGTGGGGAATGGCAGCACCGTTCGCAGGTTTGGAGGAAACCAGGGGAAGTTGAAGAGACCCGCAAAGGCGACCCCTGACCACCATTAAAAAGTGAACCACTTTGGCAACTCCAGTGTCCTTAACGCCCACCATGAAGTCCTTCGCGCGTCCAGGTGTCGACAGCAGGATGTCGCAGCCCTTCTCCAGCTGCCGCAGCTGCGCGCCCTTCCACACCCCGCCGAAGCAGGGCACAAAACGGTGCCCGATGGCGATGGACAGCCTGGCCGTCTCGGTGGCGATCTGCTGGGTGAGCTCGCGCGTGGGCGCGAGCACCAGCACCTAGGTAATCACGTCATGGCCACGGCGCGGCGCGGCACGGTACGGTCGAGGAAAATTCCGTCCGCCTGGCGCGGTCGCATTTCGCCTTTGCGTGCACGCGTGTACTGTGTGCGTGCACCGCGCGATAGCCATGTGGGCCCATGCCTGACGAAGGGGGCGAAGTGCCCCCGAAATGCGTCGCATTTACAACCATGGGTCTTGATCTGTGTACCGTATAGGAGCTTGGGACGTCGAACTACTACATCCGGAACCGGCAATGGCGGCACAGCCTCCTACGCGGCATATGCCTCCTACTCCTCCTGCTCCTCCTCCTCCTGCTCCTGCTCCTCCTCCTCCTCCTCCTTCTCCTCCTCCTCCTCCTCCCCCTCCTCCTCTCACCGGCTCTGGAGGGGAGGCAGCTGAGAGAGGCCACGGAGGGGGGCATCGAAAAAAGGGCTAAGGAGGGGGAGCACCAAGAGGAAGGTCACCGAGTCGAGTGGGGCAACTCAGGGGGAAGCGGAAGGGGCAACGAGGGGGCCAATGGGGGAGAGACCACCGAGGGGCCAACAGAAGTGGGCACGAAGAGACAATTTCAACAGACACACACACACACACACACACACACACACTCCTCATCCTCATCCTCCTCCTCCTCCTCCTCTCCCTCCTCCTCCTCCTCCTCCTCCTCGTCCTCCTCCTCCGCCGCCTCCCCCTCCTCGTCCAGCCATTTCGTCCTGCTCGTCCTTCTCATTCTCCTCCTTCTCCTCCACCACCTCCTCCTCCCTCCTCCTAATCCTCCACCTCCTACTCCTCGTCCTCATCATCATCACCACCATCGTAATCGTCATCATCATCATCATCAGCAGCAGCAGCAGCATCATCAGCATCATCAGCATCATCATCATCATTATCATCATCACCATCATCATCAGCATCATCATCACAAGCACCATCATCATCAGCATCGTCAACATCCTCAGCATCCCTCTCCTCCTCCGCCTCGTGGCCCTCCTTAGTATCTTCCTCATTATCATCCTCCTCGCCCTCACCAGCATCATCATCATCGTCATCATAAGCATGAACATCATCATCATCACCATCATCAGCATCGTCATCATCACCGTCGCCATCATAACCCGCATCATCATCATCATCAGCATCACTGTCATCATCATCATCGCCATGCCTATCGTCGGCATAATCATCATCCGTATCATCATCGTCAACATTACCAACACCATCATCACTGTCAACATTATCATCACCGTTTGGATCTTCGTCATCCGCATCACCCCCATCAACAACATCACCCGAAACACCATCATGATCATCATCATCATCATCATCATCATCATCATCATCATCACCGATCGTGATCACCATCAACATCATCAGCCTCATGATTATGCTCATGGTCATGCTTATCAACGTCACCGACATCCTCATCCACATGTTCATCCGCATCGCCATCGTCATCCTCCGCATTGTCTTCAGCACCATCATCATTGTCGTCATCATCATCACTATCACCATCACCATCCGCAACGCCAGCGTCATCGTCGTCGTCACCACCAGCGTAATCAGCAGCATCATCATATGCAGCATTGCCATAACCAGCATTACCATCATCACCACCAGCGCAGCATCACCACCACCAGCATCATCACCTCCACCACCACCATCATCATGACCATCATCATCATTACCACAACTACCATCATCATCATCATCATCATCAGCAGCAGCAGCATCATCGTCATCATCATCAATTTCTCATCATCTGCATCACCATCATCATCAACATCCTCATTTTCCAACGACGTGAGAGCCAAGAAAGGAAACAAACGTTAAGCTCGGATCGAAAAAAGTAAGGCTCGTCGCAGAGAGCTTCACTCTCGAAGGCCGCGCGGGGGCGCGTGGTGCCTGCAGGGTGCTACAGAACAGCGAAGGCCTGCGGGCAAGCACGAGTGAGGTGACTGAGGATGCTAGCACTCCAAGGTTAGCGGCGAATGTGCGGTGGCCAAAATAAATAAAAAGTCCGAATCGCACACACGGCGCGTCAGGGGCGCGGGCGAATGGCACGAGGGGGAGGATGAGGAGAGAAAGCCTTCTCTCCCGGAAAGCCGCCCCCCCTCTCCTCCTCTGCCGGCCCGTCGGTCGGCCGGCCGGCGCCGATCCGAGCCTCCCCCCGCCCACCGGGCGACGCTCTCTCCTCCTCCTCCTCCTCCTCCTCCTCCTCCTCCTCCTCCTCCTCCTCGTCCTCTTCCTCCTCCTCCTCCTCCTCCTCCTCCTCCTCCTCCTCCTCCTCCTCCTCCTCCTGGGCCGATCAGCGCGGAGCGCCGCCAGGCCGAGGCCCCGGAGAGCCGCCGCCCCCCCCCGAGGTCGAGGCCCGGGGCAGCGCCGGCAGGCTGTCGGTCGAGGGCCGGGCGCGCTCGCGGAGGCGGGCGAGGGCGGGGAGCAGGTAGGCCTCCGCGGGGGAGCGGCGGGCGCAGAGGTGCTCGCGCGGGGGGGCAGGGAGGAGGTCTGGGGGTGGGATGGGTTTTCGGTCGCTCTCGTTCGAAGTCCGCGGGTTCCAGCGGCGGCGCCTCGCCGAGAGCATTCCGGGGGAGCCCGGATGGTCCCGAGCAGCCGCCGGAGGCTGAGTTATGACCCGAAGAGGAAGAGGCCCAGACTTTCGCGTCGCGGAACAAACCACAACGCGAGGTTTTTGTTGCCATTTTCGGTCCCTGGGGGCATTCGCCGGGCCCAGAGACCGTCAAACATGACCAGGGATAAAAAAATGCCCTTGGGAAGGGGTTGGGACACCATGGAACCTGGCATGGATTAAACCAACCATCGCATGTCGGGGGAGGAGGGGGGGAGGATGGGTGGAGGGGGCAGGAGGAGGGACGAGGAGAGGGAGCAGGAAAATGTGCTGGCAAGAAGGGGGTGCGGAGGGAAGAGGGCGGAGGGAAGAGGGGTATGAGGGCGGAGGAGGGGAGGAGGGGAAGGTTTTTTTTCTCAGTGTGTGCGACGCCAAGCCAAACTCTGCAGGCAGGTTAAGACTGGGCAGCTGAAAAAGGCGGGGAGCACGGGCCCCTACTTACCTTTGAAGTTCTTGACGCGACGAGCGGCATGAAAATGAAGAAGTGCATGAAACCGACTACGACGCAAAGCGGCGACGCCCCAGAAGAAGCAGAAATCGCCGCCGAAGGTGAAGCCAGAGAAGAAAACCATCAGCTCGAACAGGCACCCGCACACTCCTCGTGCTCTACACCGACCTCGAAGCAGGCGACGAGATCGTGAAAGTCCATGTCGCCAGCACGCGCAAGAGCAACATAAGCTTCCCGCAAAATGGGCGAAGCGCGCCACCAAGCGGCACGGAACCTCGCCTCAAGCCTCCTCCACTGACGCAATGGCACCATCTTGGACTTGTTCTTCATGAAGGCAATGACATCCCTCAGCACACCACGAACGTCGTCAGCCGACGCCCGAAAGGACCCTCCGCTCGCTGAAGCTGAATTCGTACTATTAGCACGAACTTCTCCAGCCAAAATCGAAGAATCGTCGTAACAAAAGTGCCCGTCCAAGCTCGCCTCGCTCTGGCCATCACCCTGGTCAGATGAATTAAGAATTTCACTTTGTAAGCCCCGTACTTGATCCTGTTGCTCTCCAGCGGCCTGCAGAACTTCAGCACCTCCATCTTCACAAGAAGGCGCTGGCCCCTGGAGGTCACGAGCAGCAGGATCCCCTTCGGCGATGTTGAAAAAGGAAGGCACGCTCTTGGCGAAGTTGTCGTCCTCGACGTCCTCTACGTACGCTGGCTCTTGCCCATCGTAGCGCGCCTCTTCGCCCATGGGGCGTCGGGAAACCTCGAAGTCAGAGACGGAACCGGGGACTTCAGCAACTGCTTCAGCCGGACCAGCAAGTCCTTCTCCTCCTCGTGGCCCTTGAACTCCCCCTTGCAAATCACTTTCGGCGGCAGGGGCCGAAAGCTGGGCACCCTGGTCGCAGGCAGTGGCAGGTCCTCCGCCGTGTAGGTCTTCTGCTCGAACTTGCCCACCGAGATGCCCTTCTCGCTGCTGCTGCCGCTCCTCTTGTCCAGATGTTTGATCGTCTTCATCCCGTCCTTGTCCTTCACGTGCCCGCTCTTCCCCTTCCGCTCGAACTCCAGCTTGGTGTCCAGCTGCTCGCTCATGGCCTTGCTGGGCTCCACGCTCATGGCCTTGGGGTCCTGCAGCTGGTCCGTGGCGTAGGTGGAGGACGGGCACAGCAGGGACTGGTACAAGTGAGACGTAACTGTCAACTTCTGGCGCGAAGCGTCCGTCAGCGAAATCCGTGCTCCCAGCCATGCCGTGGGTGGGCGCAGCGCACGCAGATCGCC